AATCTTGTCTGGTGGACTTTTTCATCAAGCACCAGTAGCTTTGTTGATTATATAAGGAGCTCAGTTTGTAATAGTGATTCTTTTTAGGTCTCCTTAGTAACCCCAAACTGTATATATATCATGTACTCTGTTCTCTGGCATGATATCATGCTGCTTGATTCACATCTTAGTATTGGCTCTTAGAAGTTGCTTTATGCTGGCTGTTGTAAATTGTCCATTGCTCACATATCTTTATGTCCCTCTCATTATCTACCTCTTCTCCCATTTCCTGATTATTTCTTCACTGTGATTTCTCAGAATTTTTTTTCCCTTCTGAGCTTGGCTTCCTTGTTCCCTAGGACCAAACTTCCATTGCCACTCAGTCAGCTTAAGACCTTTGTTTCATCTGCTTATTGGGAACTTTCATTTAGAAGTATCATAAGGCACATCAAATTCATTTGACTAAAACAATACTTTTGTTCCTCTAGTGTGTCATATTTTGCTCAATGTTAAACTAATTATTGAAGCAGGAACCTGCAATTTGTAATCATCTTCATCATTCTGATCCTGTCGGTTCCTTCTAAGTGTCTTTTCAGGCCCTCTTCCCATTTCACTTCTTTGCTAACTGATCACTCTGCTTTAAACAATTTTTCCTCTCCTGGGAAGTAGTTTGCAAATAGATAAAGAAGTGGTCTGTAAAAGTAATAGGTATCCCTCTACCCCCCAAAATGTTGAATATGGGGGGGGGGGAGTAATAGTAAGCAAGTTTAAAAAGCCAAAATGATGGCTCAGGTGGGGAAAACCCCCCACCCTTCACTGGATTCTTAACATAATATCTCTTAGGGTATTTTTCATATTTTAATTGTGACAGTCTTTGACTAGTTTTGAACCATTCTTCTGAAAGGGAATTTAAGTTCTTCCGTATTTTGAAGTGTCATGGCCTCACATAAAATGAATGTTTAATGAGTGCTTCTTTTGAAAGTAAAATAGGAGAATTACCAGAGTGGAAACATAGTTTTGGCTTTTCGGAAAGTAAGGAAAGATTTATGAAAAATAACTTTTAACTGGAAATTATTTTCGTGTGTATTCATTAATTTAAATTTTATCTTGTTTTAGCATTTTCTTTGACAGTAACATCTTGAAATAAACATGTTGTCTGATCACTGTGCTTTTTAAGGACCAACCTAATAAAAGTATAAGAACCGTGCTTTCATAAAAAAGTAAATATAAAACTTAAAATTTTGGTGTTTGAGTGTATAAGACATTTTTAAGCATCCTAAATCAAATGAGACAACAAAGGACTACCTTGTTCTCTGCCTGTGGGTTCTGCCTGCTAGGCTCATTCAGAAGTAGCAGAGTTCTTTGGAGAATAGATGTGAGTAGGAAAAACATAAAGTGAATTTGGCATTATTTTTATATAGACTGTATAATTGAGCCCTTTGAATTGTCATGCTGAGGAATATTGATTATACCATGGACTGCCAAAAGAACAAACAATTCTTGAAAGAAATGCAGCCAGGATGCTCCTTAGATAAGTGTGGTTGAGACTTTGTCTTGCATACTTTGGTCTTGTTGTCTAGAGGGCTCAGTCCCTAGAAAAGGAGATAATGCTGGGGAAAAGCATTGAGTCAGAGAGAGAAAGACCTTCAGTGGGATGGATTGACAGTGACTGCAGCAGTGGGCTTGAGCGTGGCCAGGAGTGTGAAGCTGGCCAAGGATTGCATGTGTTCGCTGTGGTTCAGAGCTGAGTCAACCAAAAGGCACCAAACAATAGTAGAAAAAAAGCTGTCTGACCACTCATGTCAAGTGAAGAAAAGCCAAATTTGACACAGCTTCTACTTGGCAAAGATTTGCTTATTAGAAGGATATCACAATGGGATATTTACAAACCAGTTAGCTCCCAATGATGGGATTTTCACATCTTTTTTAAAGTATTATTGGAATTAACTAGAGCAATAACTTCTTATTCTGAAAGTTAGTAGTTAAAATTTTTGTTAAAATTAAGTTAAAACCTTTCAATCTGCTACTGCCTATACGAAGGAACCTTGGTAGCACAGTAATTAAAAAGAATTCTGCAGCTCACCAGATAGGTCACCAGTTTGAACCCAGCAGCTGCTTTGCGAGACACAGATGAAATGGTGTACTTGTGTACCGAGGGACAGCCTGGGAAGCCCCTTGGGCAGTTCTCCTCTGCAGGGCAGCTGGGAGGCAGAATCACTTTTATGGCTCTGCATCTGGTGGTGTGGTTTTGCCTAAATTTTTTTTTTAGAATAACCTTATAGCCCTATTGATGATAAAAAGTTCTTCATCAAATAATTCTTACTAATAAATGTGGATGGAGTTGGAGTAAAAAAATCGCCCAAATAAAAAGAATAGATTCGGACAGTGATCATTAATGGATGAAAATATTAAAATGGAAAGATGAGAGAAGTTAAGGGTGTTAGAAATTCACACTATTACCAGTGGCTGAATCTTACTGTTGCTAAAGTGGACTACTATACAGCGTGGATCTCCAGATTTTTTAAATGGGATTTGAATGAATTATGCCGATTAATGACAAAAGTGGAAATTCAGTCAAATTAAGCATTTAGAGCTGACTCTGCACTATCTAGTTGAGGAGGATAAAGGAGCCGTTACTAACACCACAGGGTAACATATTTAGAATGGAGAACATTCCAGAGACCTTTTCTAAAAAACCTGAATCATTATCTAGTGGGAATGACTACTCCAGACTGAACCAGCTAGGGGAATTTTCTATAACTAGATCAGTGTATAACTCAGCTTATATAGATGATTCCAGTGCAGGACAAGATCAGAAAAGAAAATACTCACAATTTTACTAATGTTACATATAAGTGAATTGCAAAAGATTTACATTTTCAAAATTATTTTAAGAGAACTTAAAGTAGCACACAATTTTAGTAATTTTTATATAGAGGGCAGTCATTTTTATGTAGAGATTAGTGATGACCTGTACTTGCAGTTACTGTCTTTACCATCAGTGGAGAACCAACCCATTACTGACCCTCCAGTGAGGTTTAGAGGCCGTAAATCACCAGGGACGAGAGTGCCCATCTTTATCCCGTGGAGCTGCTGGAGGATTTGAATGTCATGCCTTTGGGTGGGCAGTAACAGCTCCTTACCAATAGGCCACCAGAGCTCCCTGTACTTGTGGTAGTGTAAGAATATTTTGAAAATAAGCATTTAATTCTTTTTATAAGTGGAAGAAGCAGTGGAGCTATTTGGAAAAAATAAAATGAAGTTCTTTGTAAATAAGATTTCACACATAGTCAGCTTTTAGTCAAGACAAGACTACTGTAAATGTTTCCAAGTTTCACTCCCAGACATCATTCTTGGGAATGGTAGTCTCCACTGCAGTAACAGTGAAACAGGAAAGGTGGTACAGCACTCCTCTGTCAGTATGCTGTACGGAGGTAACCTGGGGTTGCTGTGATGCTGAACCTTGTGCCATTGGGGTGGCAAATGCCGTATGGTGGACAGTGTTTGGTGGAACTCCCAGTTTTAAGACAGGTTTGGAAGCAGGAGTGGCATCTACTTCCTAAACATGCCTCTGGAAACTCCGATAAACTTTGATAAATGATGATAGTTATAGAAAGGCTTCAGGCCTTTTGTTCATAGGGTGGCTATGAGTCCTGCTCGACTCGACAACAATCAACAACAACCAGAAGAAAGTTGAAGCTGTGGTATAAAGAAATTAAGGACTCAGCTGCGTGAGAGCTGAAGGAAATCCTTTTCTCTGCAGACATTGTTTACGAGTGCAGCAGGCCAGAGGTGTTTAGTCCAGTTTGGAGTGGAAGGACCCAGGACTTGAAGACTGGAGGACTCACGGAGTAAAATGGAACTAATAAATTTCTGATGCATTTCCCTTTGTGGAAAATGCCACTGATATAGTCTGTTAAAGCGGTGGGAAGAATTTTTGATAGGTGTTTAGAAAAACAATGAGGAGAGGGACAAAAATATGCAACAATGAATGAAAATCCAACTTTTCTTAAAACACAAAGAATTGAAAGCTCTTTGAAAGCAAAAGAAAACTAAGCTGATGAACTTTAGGAGAAGCAAAATGTTATACACTAAGAAAAACAATGATTATATAGTTTACTACTAACCTCACCAAATAGCAAAATTCTGTACATAATTGCAACCCGGGTGTGCTCTTTGAGGATTTGTTGTTAGGAGTGGTCAGTCTTTGGAAAAGGACATCATGCTTGGAAAGATGGAGGGTCAGTGAAAGAGTCTCAAGATGAATTGGCATAGTGAGGTGAAAGGTGCAGGATAGGGCAGGGTTCAGACCCATTGTTCATAAGATACTGTCACAGTCAGTTGGCACATTACAACAGCAACACACAAAAAATTGTTACAGTTGCATTGTAATTACCGTTGAAGTGGAAGGAAGGGAAGTGTGAGTGGTGGTGGTGTAAGGGACCTAAGTACCTTAGATTTAGAGTCCAAGCGAACCATATTTCTCCTAGAGATTCTGGTTTTATTTCTGTATTCTTGCTGTTTACATCATACTTGACTCATTTCCCCTTTATGTAACTTAAGGATTTGCCTTATCATATTATTGAGGCAGCTGTGGACGTTTAAAAGAGAAGATAGGCTTATAAATTATATATATATGCATTTATTTACTTAATAGAACAAGTCTTTTAAGAATAGACAAAGTCCTAAAAAGTAAGAAAAAACAATTCTTTTGATGAACATTTTTAATTGTAACACTTTAAAGCATTAAAAATCAAGTTCTCCTTTTTTAGTTGTGATAAAATTGCTCAAAGTGATGTTGAGGCTTTTTAAAGATTCTACTTGGAAGGTTTGAGTAAGAGAAAACCCTGAAAAATCTTACTTTAAAAGATTTCTGTCTGGCTATAAAGTTTGCTTTCCCCTGATTTCAACTTTTAATAAATTCTGATTTGTGCCAGGTGTCAGTTTACTCTCTGCACCATGTTCACAGCATTCCTCGGTTTTTCAGGTTTCCCTCTAACCATCTTCCCGTCGTCTCTTCCAGGTTAGCCAGAGGACGTCTCCGTGGCGTGGACTGCGGCTGCCTTGGGTCAGAGCATGTCGTCCATCCTGCCGTTCACCCCGCCCGTCGTCAAGCGGCTGCTGGGATGGAAGAAGTCGGCTGGTGGGTCTGGAGGAGCCGGTGGAGGAGAGCAGAACGGACAGGAAGAAAAGTGGTGTGAGAAAGCGGTTAAAAGTTTGGTGAAGAAGCTGAAGAAAACAGGACGCTTAGATGAGCTTGAGAAAGCCATCACCACCCAAAATTGTAATACTAAGTGTGTGACCATTCCAAGGTGAGTGTCCCCGGCCCCGTGCGCATGCCCGCCTGGCGAGTTCCCCTGTGCGCATGCTCTTGGCTTGTAATTACTGAAAGGAGCATGCATGCTGGCACGTTCCTAAATTTTTGTTACTTGTAAATCACCTATAAAGAGTGACTGTTACAATATGACAGCTGTTTTTAACCTGTCACAATATTACTCTTTAAGAGGAATTTATTATACATAGTATTTCTTTAACAGTGAAGAAGTTTTAATCAAAGAAAAGACATTGTTTAGCTGGTACGCAATTGTATCTTGGTTACTTAAGCTTGTGGTAATTAATAGCTTCCACTGTTGGTCAAAATTTTTAGTATTTAAGGAGTTTAAAAAGAAGCTAACATTGTGTTAAATTTCAGGTAGTTTTACAAGAGGCAGCTTCTTAGATAGTGTAGGTATTTGGTAGAACTGGTCTTGATCTGTCTCTTGTGTTGAAGGGCATTCTTACCGAGGAGGTTAAAGTTTTATTAATATTAATCTACTCATTTATAGCCAAATGTAATAGTGATATAATACTTTTTCAAATTGAGAGATGCCCCTTCTGAGTCTGATACTTTTTTGTGTACATTCTGGTTGTTTTTGGTATGTTATAATTTTCCAAAGTAATTGTTTAAAACTTAGTACAACCGAGAATTTACTGCAGTTAAGTTAGGACTGACTCTTACATGACCCTCTGGCTGGTTTTCAGAGGCTGTGAATTGCATAGAATCAGGTTGCCCATCTTTCTACTGTGGAATAGCTGATGAATTTGAAACACTTGCTTTTAGGATGTCATCTCAACGCCTTTTCCACAAGGCCACCAGAGCTCTTCAGTCTCATGCATGGGGACTAGTCTAGAATATAGCACCTGAAACCAATTTGACATTTTTCCAGTAAGCTTTAAGAATTACACTCCTAACTTTTGTTAATAATGAAACCCAGTGAATAGCAGCTTGTGTACTTACTTAACAAAGGTTAACAATAAAATGGGTGTGTTTTTTTTCTTGTTTGATAAGCTCTGTTTATTTTTACCTTCCTTGTTTCATATATATATATTAAAATCTTGAATAAGAGTCACTTTTACCAGTTCAATTTTTGGTTTGGTGTCATTCAGTCAGACCTAACTCATAGCTGACCTTCCAGTGGGTTTTTGGAGGCAGTAAATTGCAGAGGAGAAGGACTTGTCTTTCTCTTGTGAAGCAGCTGGTGTTTTAGAACTTTGTGCCTTTGGTTGGCAGCTTAACTCCTTACTTACTGCTTGGCCACTAGAGCTCCTGTGGAAGAACTACTCAGTGCCAACTGTGTATGCAAGGCACTGTTCCTAGACCCATGCAGAGATGGTGTAGACACAATAGACATGTGATCAGATGAGCATTGTCTGGGGTGGTAATGAATACAAAGAAAACTGGCAAGTAGGTAATCTGGTAGAGGATGATGAGGAGTAAGAAAGCTACTTTGGAAGTAGCTTTGTGGTGTTTGAAGTGATTGTTGAGAAGTAATTTGCTAAAGGAAGAGTCTTCTAAGCAGATCTTAGAGCCATCTTCCTCTCTCTGAGATGGGAAGAAGCTATTGGAAAATTGGAAGTTTTGCAGAACGTTGTAGGGGTGGAGTAGTTTAACGTGAGTACAGAATTTACAGAGACTGATCATACAGGGCATTCATTGTAAGACACGGTGAGAGTCTGAATTTTTGCCCAATGCATGGTGTTACACTGTGACTGCTGGACAAAAATGGTTGGAGATGGGGGCTGTGTGACTGAGAATTTAGGGAGGTTATTGAAGTCTACATGAGGGTCTGGGACTGGGGTGGTGGTTTTATTAACATGATGAAGTGGATGGATTCAACATGTATTTTGCAAGTACAAGCCTTGCTGATAAATTGGCAACTAGTAACTCAAACTATGTAACTTTTCGTTGTTTAGTGTCAGGCGTTTTTACTTAGTATGTTATTAGGAAGGACCAGTCCCTGGAGAAAGACCTCATTGCTCCCCCACCAACATAAAATAAGTTTATTAAAGCTCAAGCTTTAATAATTGAATAACATTTGGTTACAGAAGGTTCCATTCATGCTGTCACAGTGAGAAATCTAAAACTTAAAACTGATTATCTCTTTGAATAAATAACTATATTACAGCGTATCACAAAGTGCAAACAAGGAGGGAGGAGGCAGTCAACAGAGCTCTTGAGAGGCTGCAGCAGCAGGCTGATTGTCTTAACAACAGGGCACAGAAACTCCTTCTGGAGTGCAGTCCTGGGAAATGAAATTGTCTTGGCCAAAAAGAGGTCCAGACATGAGCTTTGATTGATTCTTATTACAAACAGTGAAAGGCAGCCTTCTCATTGCTGATGTTGGATCTGGCACCAAAGGAAACTGTGGCTAATTTTTTGTACTTCAACTGAGCGAGCAAGTGGGTGAGCAATAAGGAGTGACATCTAGCCGGTAATTCTGACTCCAGGCCGCAATCTCTGCAACCGAGCCCTGAGCTTTTCAAGCAGGATGGCCTGGAACTGCTCCCGCACCTGCATTTCCACAATCTCCTCCTTTGTGTGGATGTCGGGTCTTAGCCACTCGATCGATCGCCAGCTCCTGCAGGTGTTGAAGGACATCCCTGGGCCGAGCTGCCTTCTCATAGCGGAACAGTCTGAACTTCTGCAGGGAGGCCCCAGGGTTGGGGGGATTCCTTCATGGGATGGTTTCAGGGTCCTTGACAGAGTCCTCTTCTTCCAGGCTGTTTGATGGGAGCCCAGCAGGCTCTAATGAAACCTGGACCTGGGGTGCTGGTATTAGGACTTCTGGCTCCTCAGCCACCAACATGGCTATTGGTGACTTTATTTGGTCACTGTGAACTTCTTTCTCATTTCCTTTTATCCTTGGGTTTCCTTCAATCTCTATTCTGGAATCCTGGGAAAGAACGTCTCAGATACCCAAGCACCTGAATCTGGAAAAGGCCAAAGACCTCATTTCTTGGTAGAGGGTCAATGCAAGGTGAGGACGCCCCTCAACAGGCAGATTGGCACAGTGTCTTCAGCAGTGGCCTTAGCAGTTGGGAGAGAGGTGAAGCTGCAGCAGTGTCATCTCACGTGGGGTCTTTGTGCACAGGAGTTGACTGCAGCACCTGACGTAGTCTACCAAGTTCCTTCTACATGCTTGATAAGCTCTCCTTGCTAAGTTACCATGTGCTCTTGTTACTTATTTTCTAATGAAGGAATAAAAGCAGAGGACAGTTTCACAAGGTGTAAATATTACTGATTAAAGAAGTTGGCTGCTACCCACAAGACCAGTGATTGGAAGCCATCAGCTGTTCCAAAGGAAGAGATGAGGTAGCCAGCTTCCAGAAAGATCTCAGCGCTGGAAACTATGAGCGTCTTACTTTGTCAAGCATTTTTGAGACTAAGAGTGAGTTAACTCAGTCATAAAAATCTAAATTCTTAATAAAGAGTCAGAGGTCAGGAAGAAAATGGCTTTTAAAAGGTCTTATTACTTGTAGTAAAGCTAGGTTGTAGCAGTAGGAGAGATGGAGAAGCTGGAGTGGAAAGAAGGAGGTACGACAGTGTCGAATATCCTGAGCACACTCAGCTTCTTGCTGCCAAATTGGCTCTCGCCGACCCTCCAGTGGGTTATCAGAGATTCTTCCATGACACGGGACGAGATGGCCCATCTCCCTTCTGCAGGTCAGCTGGTGGGTTGAAACCGCCTATCTTTGAGTTGGATGTGTAACTCTCTACCCAGTAGGCTGCTAGAGCTAGCCAGTCTTTCATGCCCTTTGAAAAGAATGCAAAATTTACAACACTGACGTTTGGTTTTTTTTCCCACAGAGAAAAGTGAACTGAGGGGTGGGGTGGGCAGGAAAAAAAATGTGCAACAATTGTTGTTGTTTGGTGCCATTGAGTCAAGTATGACTCATAACAACCCTATGAACAAAAGATCTGAAACCAGTACTATCTTGTGCCATCCTCATACTTCCTGACACACAAGAGCCCATTGCAGCAGTCACCTTGTCAATCCACCTGGTTGAGAGTCTTCCTCTCCTTCATGGACCCACCACCCTCCCCAACATCATGCTCTTCTCCAGGTAATAGCACCACCTAGCAATATGTCCAAATTATGTTAGACGAAGTCTCCTTATTCTTGCCTCCAAAGAGCACTCTGGCTGCACCTTCTCCAAGACATATCTATTCCTTCTGCGGCCCTTGGGCCTGCTATTAATCATGTTTAGGAAGAACATTGTTATAAGTGGTGCAGCACTTGTCTGTCAATGGCTGGGGTTGCTGTGATTCTGAAATCTTTGCCACTGGTGTGTCATATTCCAAAAGGGTTTCCCATTGTGGATGGGTTTTGGTGTAGCCCCCTGATTCAGACAGACTAGGAAGCAAGATGGACCATCTACTTCCTAAATAAAAGGCTTTTGAAAGCCCTATGAAGACTAACCAAAGGGTATTTATAGTAGTATAGTGGTAGAGCCCAGATTGGAAGTTAATTGAAATGAGGAAGATCAATAACATAGTTTAACAATTGGTACATGGAATGTTCATAACTTGATTGGTGGGAAGTTGGATATTGTTAAAAATGAAATGGAGCACATGAATATTGACATACTTGGCATTAATGGTCAGATAATCATGATATACTATGCAAAGAATGAAAAACAGAACAAGAATGGTGTTGCATTGATAGTCAAGTCAATCTCAAGTTCTACCCTGAAATAGTGTTATGAGTGATAGGGTAATAGCCATACGCATATAGAAAGGCCATTAAGAAAGGCCCATTCAAGTATATGCTCCATCTAGTGACAAAGAGGAAGAAATGGAGAATTTTTACCAAATTTTGCAGTCTACAATTGACCGAACATGCACTAACGGTAATTGGTGACTGAAATGCAAAAAGTAGGAAACAATGAAGAAGGAACAGTGGTTGGAAAACATGGGCTTGGTGATAGAAATGAAGCTGGAAATAGGATGATTTGAATTTTGTATTTACAATGATTCATTGCAAATACTTTT